CAGATTTCACCATCACACTATGCTTTCTCAAGTTCCTAGTCACAAAACCATCCTCAAAGCTCAGTTTTCTTAGGAACGTATTGGGGAATTCAAATTTCCATTTTCTTACAGTACTGAATTTGTAGGCTGCTTCAAAGCCATAGGTGAGTTTGCTACAACTGGCTGAGCTGAACTTAGAGGATGACTTACAAAGATTTCCAAGTCCTAATCCATAGTGCCCTGTGACTTTGCAGAACTTTGCAGATGGGATAAACATTAAAGACCTTGAAATTAGGATGTGACTCCTGGATTCTCCAGATGTCTAATCTTATCAAATGAACCCAGAAAGACATCAATCTTCCATTCAAACCCAGACCGTGAACCCCACTCTCTAGGGACATAGTCACCAACAGTGCCCCCAGTACCAGATAGGACCTGCCACTGCCCTTCCTCAGCTGACAACACAGGGGCTTAGGACCAGCTAAGCCCCGCCTCCCTGGGAAGACAAGGAGACCACAGGAAGCCTCTCCCCAAGGCCTCAAGGCCTCTGCATCTCCTCCACCTCCATGCTCATCCCTGGGCAGGAGAGAGGCAGGTGCTGAGCCAAGCAAAGGCTCCATCCACAGTCAGAGTCTGGGGAGTCCTCAGGGAGAGCAGTGTGCTAGCCTCGCACAGGGGGAGGCAAGGGGATGGGGGAGTGGACACAGGAACAAGATTAGAACCCAGCAAAGCCCTGAGACAGCTACTGCCATTGCAGGCATTTGGTGAGTCTCTCTCTCTCTCTCTCTCTCTCTCTCTCTCACTCGCTCCCTCTCTACATCCCTATGAAACAAATTTTTTTTTTTGACAGAGTGGGCAGTGAGAGAGAGAGAGAGAGACAGAGAGAAAGGTCTTCCTTTTCCGTTGGTTCACCCCTCAATGGCCACTGCGGCCGGTGCACCGCGCTGATCCAAAGCCAGGAGCCAGGTGCTTCTCTTGGTCTCCCATGTGGGTGCAGGGCCCAAGCACTTGGGCCATCCTCCACTGCCTTCCTGGGCCACAGCAGAGAGCTGGACTGGAAGAGGAGCAACCGGGACTGAACCGGCGCTCCAACCGGGACTGGAACCCGGTGTGCCGGCACTGTAGGCAGAGGATTAGCCTAGTGAGCTGTGGCGCCAGTCCTCAGATACATGTGTTTAATTCTTTAATCCTACTCAAAGTACTCAGGATGTTGCACATAATTTCAGATAATTTATAGACCCCAAGCCAGGAATGCATCCCCCCACATCCTGGAGGCTCTGCTCCTGGGTTTAGAACATTTCCTCAGAGTAACAAATTCCTCAGCAACCACAGGTGCTCAGGGGAAGAAATCCAGCTGCACAGTGATCAGAGCACGAAGCACAGAGAAGAGCAGCATCCCAGAGGGCCAGGAAGCAACAGGAAAATCGACCAGGACCAGGAAGGGCAGGAATTTCAGGGTAACAAGAATATACAACTAAAGATCCTCTGTAAGACCTGAGTCCTGAGCAGTGAAACGTGGTTCCTGGGTCTTCTGGAGACCAGTGCTTCCCCATCTGCACAGTGGTCACCCTGCTCCAGGCTCTCCTCACACCTGAGCTCTGCACTGAGAAGGATCAGCTGAACAAGGGGTTTTAAGAAGGTGCTGCTGGGGCTGGCACTGTGCTGCAGTGGGGTAAATCCTCGGCCTGCAGCTGTCATCCCATAGGGTGCCAGTTCAAGTACCGGCTGCTCCACTTCATATCCAGCTCCCTGCTAGTGAACCTGGGAAAGTAGCAGAGGAAGGCCTAAGTCCTTGGACCCCTGTACCTTTGTGGGAAACCGGGAGGCAACTCTGGGATCCTGGCTTTAAATCAGCTCGGCTCTGGCCGTTGATGACATTTGTGGAGTCAACAAGCAGATTGAAGACCTCTCCTCTCTGTCTCTACCTCCTTCTGTAAGTCTGTCTTTCAAACAAAGAAAATGTCCCCAAGCAGGAGTCCCTGCTCTCTTTCCACGGGGGTTACAACACTGACAAGGAGAGCAGGGACACCCAGCCCATCTGGAGTTGAGTCCACAGGTAGAGAAGGGGCAGGGCAGAGGCAGGGCAGGGAGGCAGAGGAGCCATCAGCGTCACTTACCAGCATACAGCTGCGCCTTCCTCCAGGCTGAAAGGAAACACACCCTGGTGAGACCACAGCCACACCACCTGCTCAGCCCTCACCTGCCCTCTGTGCTGAAGGTCAGACTCTGCAGGAGGAGAGAGGCTGCACAGGAGGGGCCTCCTGCAGGTGCAGACAGCAGAGGATTGTGGGAAACTCCCTGACCATAGATCAGGAAGCCTGCTGGAAAGCTGAGTTGCACCCTGCCCCACTGCTGGGTGAGTTTTGGCTGTCAGCTCTCTGCCCCGTGCCTCAAAACCCACAAAGACTCCTGTGTCACTGGTCCTTCAGTGCTGTGAGGAGCAAAATATACCATGTGAAGATATTTTAGTGAAAAAATGGGGCCAGCATTGTGGCATGGCATGTAAAACTGCTGCCTACAAGTTTGGCATCCATATGGGGGCAAGTTCAAGTCTCGACTGCACCTCTTCCTATCCAGCTTCCTGCTTATGAACCTGGGAAAACAGTGGAAGATGGCCCTAGTGCTTGCGCCACTGCACCTACATGGGAGACTGGAGGAGCCCAGGGCTTCTGGATTCAGCCTGGCCCAGCCCCGGCCACTGTGGCATTTGAGGGGAAGGGTGAACCGGTGGATATAAGATCTATATCTCTTTCTCTTTCTGCCTTTCAAAAAATTAAAATGAACATTTTTAAAATGATAAATTACCTTTTATCAACAATTTTTGTATAGTATTTTCTGGTTGGGTATATGGGCAATATTAATGGAAAAGAAGGAACAAAATGGATATGAGACCCCCTCCAGGGTCAAAGGGACCAAACATTCTCTCTAAAATATTGCTAGATGGAAGCACAACTGTGCTAAGAGATGTTCAGCTCGTCCCATCGACCACCACACCTGGTCAGCAGCCCAGTCCTCTCCCTATCACTTTTCCCTGGCACCTTTGAGGAACAGGTGAGCAGCAGTTCCCCCTGGGTAGTGTTTTGGGAGGGAGGGGGCAGAAGATGGCACCCCAAGCTCAGTGACCCCATTTATTCATGTCCTTCCTCTCATGAAATATGAGTGCATCTGGTTTATGGTTTCCTGGTGCAAGCCAAGAGCTAGAGCACGGGAGGCTGTAACACTAGCAGCACTCATACAGGGACAGCACAGGGTGGAAAAAGACCCAGGAAGCAGAGCTGACTCCATGCCCAATATTGCACACACATCTTGGAGCAGGAACAGGAGACAGCCACGCAGATGTGAGAGACCAAGAAAGCAGGCCTCCACCACCCAACTGCCACTGCTGATCCAGGGAAGGGGGGTCCACATGTCTGTTACCATACAGAAACAAGGAGGGGACAGCTGGACACAGGTGGGACAGGAGACCACGGAACATCTGGAGAGTCACTCACCAGCCAGGTAAGCTGTCTTCCTCCGATCTGAAAAGCAGCACAGGGAACAGGTGAGCTGAGACCCGGAGCTTCCCCCACAAAGGGACAGAGAGTTCAGGAGGGGAGCAGAGCTTACCAAGTTCTTCCTGGAGCTCGTCTGAAAGAGAGTGAAAAAAACTTAAACTCCCACCCCCAAGAAACGGAGAAACCGTGTGCCTGGAGAACCCACAGGAAAGACCTCATCTGTATCCTAGAGAAGTTCTTACTCCAGACCCACACACAGCTCCAGCCTCCAGCTGTCCTGTCTGGGTCTCCACAGCCACCTGCCCTGGAGAGCAGAACCCACAGACTCATCTCCCAGCATCCTTCCTCTCAGCACCAGCTGCCCCCCTGTCTGGCCCCTGGCCCCCTACCTCTGGCCTTCAGTGCCTCCTCCTTTGCCCTCTGGTCCTCCTCCTTAGCCCGGCACAGCTTCTCCCATTTCTGCCTCTCCTGCAGTTTTGCAGAGCGCTCTCTCCTGGTGAAGCAGCCAGCCCCCAAGAGCAGGAGCCCCAGCACGGTGAGGCTCACGGAAAATGCTGCCTTCCAGGGAGAGGCCTGCGGGAAGAAGGGCTCTGGGGCCCAGGCAGAGACCCAGTCAGGGGAGCACCCAGGCCCACCCCGCACACTCAGGGATGCCTGCACCACCTCCCAAGCCCTGCCAGGAATGAGAAGCTGCACCGACCTGGGATGGACACGGCCATCACCTTCTCCTGGCCCAGGATGGGATTGAGGACAGAGCAGCTCACACTCCCTGCAGAGCTGTCTCTCACCACCAGAGCCACCTCCACGCTGAACAGCCCTGCTGCGTCCTGGGCATGGGCCTCAGAGAACTCCAGGAACTTCTTCCCGCTGAGGTCTGTCCACTGCACCTGGGGCTTCGGGAACCAGCTCGACGCCTTGCACACCACGCGGACCCCGTCCTGCTCCGGCCCTTCAATGTGCACTTGAGGGGCAGAGCCCAGGCCTGCAAGAGGGGAGCTGTGGAGACCTTGGAGACCACTTGGCCCAGGGCCTCAGCAGGGTCTGGGTGTGGCACAGCCACAGGGGAGTCACTGTGTTCCATTCTGGAGATTCCATGGGAGGGCGTGGCCTGAAGGAGGGAAAGAGCCCTGGGACCCATGGGGGCACAGAGTAGGGGCTTTCTCCTCAACTCTGCAGATGTGAAGACTGAGGCCCAGAGAAACCAGGAGCAGGAACTTGACCCCAGGACTCCATCCTGAACCTCTAATCCCCTCACCCCACTCACTCCTGGGGCACCTGCTATGATTCCCACTGCCTCTCTCTGTAAATCACTTCCAATACTGCACCAGTTAACAACCCTGTCCCCACTGCTTCCCTCATATCCACACCCTGAGTTATCTCTGCCAAGTTTCCTTACAGACATGAAACTCACAATTTCAGAACTGAGTTCACACCTGTGACCTATGTGTGATAATTGAGTATTAAATACCCGTGTACTGTTCCTTCTTCAGGGGAGCTGGCTCTCCCCCATGCTGTAGCTCCTTCACATTCTGGCTCTGAGGTTGGTCATGTGACTCACTCTGGCCAATGAGAGACCAGCCCATGGGACTTAAGGAGACATTTGAAAAGCACTTGTGTCAGTGATTTTGCCTCTGCCATTGCCTTAGGAAGGACCCGCCTTGCGCAGCCACTACAAGATGAGACTTCAGGGCACTGCTGGTCACCCAGCCTCTCTGGGAGATGCTGTCCTAGGGCAGCCACAGTCAAGAATGGGAACATACCCAGGCACGGTCCACGTGGTGACCTCCCCAGCTGACTACAAGAACAATGAGTATTGAAGTAAGATCTCTTTTCCCTGTTGAAAATCAGAGGAAAATTCCCCCTCTCCTCCCTTTTAGGGCATTAACATTAGAACACTGGGAACTATAAATGCTTCTCTTCATTGAAATATTATCATTTTGAAAAGCAAATAGGCCTTTTGTCAGCTTAATGACCCAGGAATGCCTTCTTCAGGGACCTGGGAGACAACACATCGAAATGAAAACATTTTTGTATGCTTTATAAATTTTTATATATTTTAAATTTACATATTTTATAAAGAGACAGTACTACTTTCTCCTCCTTTCTGTGGAAGCATCAGAGGCTCACATCAGTAAGTGAGACTACTTCAGTTATAAAAATAGGACAAGTAAAGCTATCACTGAGGTTAGAAGGTTAAGCCTCTAATCACCATCCTGGCATCTCTTATGGGCACCTGTAGGAATCCTGGCTGCTCTACTTCTGATCCAACTACCTGCTCATGTGCCTGGGAAGGCAGCTGAAGATGGCCCAAATACATGGGCCCCTGCATTATTAGGAGACCCGGAAGAAGCTCCTGGATCCTGGCTTCAGCCTGGCTCAGGCCCATTGCAGCCATTTGTGAACCAGCAGATGGAAGAAAAATTCTCTGTCTCTCTGTCTCTCTTTTTCTCTCTGTCTCTCCCCCGCCTCCTTTCCTCCCACTTTCTCTCTCTCCCTCTCTCTCTCTCTCTGTATCTCTGCTTTTCAAATAAAATTAATAAATATTTTTTAAAAATAGAAGTTTGTTTTCCCTCCAGATAAAGCCTATTGACCAAGATAGATGGCCACTACAATTACTAGGTCCATTTAGGGTGAGCTCTGTGTGGTAAGCAGGTATTATATCTGCTTCAAGTCTTGTTATTTGAGGATTAATTGTTGTTTATGTTGAAAACATGGATGAATGCATTTGGTGCAGAAGTTAACATAACGCTTGAGATGCCCACATCCCATATCTGAGTGCCTGAGTTCCAGTTCCCGTCTGCTTCCAATCCAGCTTCCTGGATATGCACGCTGGGAACCAGCAGGTGAGGGATCAAGTGTTTGTGTCTCTGAGACCAACATAGGAGACTCAGAAGTTCTGGGATCCTGGCTTCACCTGGCCACATCCCAGCTATTATAAGCATTTGGAGAGTGAATCTGTGGACGGGAGATCTCTCTGTCTCTGTGTTGCTTGCCTTTCAAATGAGTAAAAATAAAAAAAAAAAAAAACTTTTGTTCATGTTCTGGGCAATTTATTCAACAACCCTACACCTCAGACCGCTGTTGACCATCATGTTGGGCCCTCATCACACCATGAAAAGGGGCCAGGTAGCCTGATAGGAGCCACCAAGGGCCCAGCAGCCGGGGCCACATCAGTGGCTATCATCACTGTATCGGCCACTGCTCCTACCAGCACTGCCATTGCTCACTGTGCTCTGTGCTGGGGCACCACACTCTCCATGGACCAGGGACCCACATGTTCACCCATGGGGGTGAGGGGCCCAGACTGGGCCAGATCCCAGCAGGACCAGACTGGGAGGGAGGAGCAGCTGAGCACCTGCCCGGTGGCTGTCAGCAGGATCCACCCTGAGGTGCTCCGCATGAGGTCCCCGCCCCACCCACCAAGCCCCCATCCTTGGAGAAGGCTGTTCATGCCAGGAGCTCAGAGAGTGGCAGCTGGCCCCACACAGTGCCAGACTAAAGCCCAGGGCCATAGGGCCATCGAGGCCCCAAACGAAGCTGATAAGTAGAAGGAGACTAAGGTCACAAAGCAGTAATGGTGTTGGCCCAGGACAATGCACAGGTGGAGCTTCAGGGCTCTCCATTCTCTTCCCTCCCATGCACACTCTGCA